AATCGGGCATTTTTGTGTAATGTCATGTCAACAATGACATAACGGTTTAGCATCATTGCCACCCCGTCTGCTTTAAAAATTTCACTCTGGCTGGTATAAATACGGATCCAATTCCTCTCATTCCGAATTTTCCAATCCAATTACTCTAACTGCAAACCGACTAATACCACCATCATGACTAAAGCTGTGCCAGATACCTTTCAAGGATTCGCTGTTTCTGATCCAAAGAATTGGAACAGACCAAAGTTGGCTTCATACGAAAGAAAGCAAATCAACCCACACGATGTTGTTTTGAAGAACGAAGTCTGTGGTTTGTGCTACTCTGATATCCACACATTGACTGCTGGCTGGTCTCCAATCCAAAGAGAAAACTTGGTTGTTGGCCACGAAATCATTGGCGAAGTCATTGCCGTTGGTGACGAGGTAACCGAGTTCAAAGTTGGTGACCGTGTTGGAATTGGTGCTGCTTCCTCCTCGTGCCGTAGCTGTCACAGATGTAATCACGACAATGAGCAATACTGTAAGCAGTTAGCAGCCACTTACAACTCCAAGGACGTCAGATCAAACGACTACATCACACAAGGTGGCTACTCCTCCCATTCTATTGCTGACGAAAAGTTTGTTTTTGCAATTCCTGCGGACTTGCCATCGTCATATGCTGCTCCACTCATGTGTGCTGGTATCACTGTTTTCTCACCATTGGTCAGGAACTTGGGATTGGACGCCAAGGGAAAGAACGTTGGTATCATTGGTATTGGTGGATTGGGTCACTTGGCTTTGCAATTCGCTAGAGCTTTGGGTGCCAATGTCACTGCATTTTCCAGATCATCAGCCAAGAAAGAGCAAGCTTTGCAATTGGGTGCTCATGATTTCGTCGCCACTGGTGAAGACAAGACCTGGTACAAGAACTATGACGACCACTTTGATTTCATCTTGAACTGTGCTTCTGGTATTGACGGTTTGAACTTGTCTGACTACTTGTCCACATTGAAAGTTGACAAGAAGTTCATCTCTGTTGGTTTGCCACCAAGTGAGGACAAGTTCGAAGTGAGTCCATTCACCTTTTTGAAACAAGGTGCAAGCTTCGGCTCATCTTTGTTGGGTTCCAAGGCCGAGGTCAAGCAAATGTTGAAGTTGGCTGCTGAACACAATGTCAAGCCAATGATCGAAGAGGTTCCAATCAGCGAGGAAAACTGTGCCAAGGCATTAGATAGATGCCATGCTGGTGATGTCAGGTACAGGTTTGTCTTTACTGGATTCGACAAAGCTTTCAAAGCCTAGATATTTTCATAGAGTATATATAAAGAAGGAGACAGTTAACCAGCAAGGTACTGCGTGTAGAGGTTACAAATTACTCTTTCAGAAAAAGAAAAAAAATGAGGGTATCATATTTACATTACATACAGTAATTCTCAGCTACTCAGTATAGCAAACTTGGGTTTTTGTATCAAGTCCCGCTTGGCCACGTTCGTGCCTGCCGAATATGACCTCTTGTGTTTTTTGATTGCAGCGATTTCATAACCCAGTTTTTGTCCAGACTTGGCCAAATACTTGTCCTTCTTAACAGGAGTTGCAAATGATGGTAAATTGTTGAATCTGTGAGTAGATCTAAATTCATTTTCAAACGTAGCTGGTTGAAAAAGCTCGTCGAGTTGTGTTGTTACCCCGTTGCTCGTAACAAAGCCCTTGAAGGAATTTATGCTCAAATCTCCTAGTGGTGAACGAGGGCCACTTCTAATGCAGGTGATCTTTGGCTGAAGAATATTCTCTTGGTCATTGTGGTTAAGCTTGTTGGAGATAGGGGTCCCTACAATACTGTGGGAGCTGTTGTCCACCTTGTCTTCCCATATTGTGAATCCAGGAGCAGCAGCTGCCTTGTGCTTCTTTGGCGATGGGGTGCGCACTTCCGAAACCGACCTAAATGGTGATTTGCTGTACTCTCTGGTCACAGATGCAATGCTTTTTCTTTGGGGGGATAAGGGGTTCACGTTGAAGACCTTTGGGGAGAGAGCAGATCTCTTTGTAGGTGATGGGGTTGATGGCATTGATGTAGAATGAGCGGAAGGTGGGTAGCCGAGTAAACAACTGCAATGGAAAGAGATTTGCTGAGTATACTTTCCAGTTTTCAATTCAGTCTCGTGAAAGCTAATTAGTAAAAGGGGGACACATTCCACAACTCTGTTTACTTTTTTTCAATGCGCGAGTTTTACTCCAAAAGTTGCAAATATTTGACGCGTCGTCAAATATAGCCGATGTGCTCTGTTACTGCTTATATAATCTACTTGGGACAAATGGCAATTTGGTCACCACTCCATCCCTCAACTTGCCTCTGATCTCAATCTTCACCGGCGCTCCGATTTTCGCCTTTTTATCGATATACGCTTGCGCAACGTTACCGCCATTGGTAGGAGAAGGTGACCCAGAGGTAATGTATCCAATCTCGGTTTCACCGTCCTCGCTGTATATTTTATTCCCCTCTCTAGGAGAAGGACCTTTTGAGGTCAACCCAATTCTTCGGTGCGTGGTGGATTTGTCCTTGATTTGGCTCAAGATCTTGGCTGCTCCATTGAAACTGGAGCCACTCAATTCACGACGTGTTTTGGGAATCAACCAGGTTAAGGATGCCTCGATTGGTGTAATGTCTTCTGTCAATTCGTGTCCGTACAAGCACATACCTGCCTCTAATCTCAATGAGTCTCTTGCGGCCAATCCAATAGGTTTAGCTACATCGGGGTATTCATGCACCAAAGTGTTGAAGAAACTTAAAGCCTCTGCTGCCTCTTCTGGGGTTGCTGATGGGATTGACAATTCAAACCCATCTTCTCCCGTGTATCCCGATCTTGCTAGATGCACAGTAGCCGAGATCGGTGACAATTTGACAAACTTTGTTTGTCCAAAGTAGATCTGACTCAAATCTTCATTGGTAAACTTTTGCAAAAGCTCTTGTGCTTGGGGGCCTTGAATTGCTAATAAAGTTCCTTCAAATGTATTGTGCTCTACTGAGTTGAATGCCTTTAACTCATCTTTGAGAAACTGGACATCCTTCTCTCTGCACCCGGCATTTGTCACCATGTAGTACTTGTCCTTGGCGTGTTTCGTGATGATGCAGTCGTCAATAACCCCGCCTTCCGTGTTCAACAACACCGACAAACTCGAACTGTTTTCCGGAATCAAGTTCAAGTCGATGGGGGTCACCTTTTCCAAGAATGATTGTGCATCGGGCCCACTTATATTGTGTTGCAACATGTGGCTGACATCGAACAAGCCTGCTTTAGATCTAACCCAGTTATGTGAATCAATGTGTGATTGAGACTCGTATAGCACGGGCATTTCAAATCCTGCGTACGGGACCATCTTTCCTCCCAATTTGACATGGGCATCGTACAACGGGGTCTTCAAAAGTGTGCCCGTCGAGGCAAGTCTCCTTTGTGTGAGTTGGAGCGATTTGACTAACATTGTAAAGAGTAAGGGTTGAAGTAAAAAAAAAAAAAAAGAAAAAAAAGATACAAGTTAGTAGTGAATTTTGCGGAGATGAAGATGAACAGACTATATAGAGCTGACTTCGCGTCCGGAGTCAAAATACTTTTGTCTCTGAATAGTTTGACTTCTTGACTTTTTTTTTTGCAATCTATTCAATGAGGTAGATTCCATCCATTGGGCGTGGTTGGACTACCGTTACCACTGCTATAACGATCACCGCTATTAGCTCAATTGCCATCGCAATCATGTTGTGGCCCACCCAAGACCACAAATCATCTCTCGCCAAGTGGTGATACTCCAAATGGCTGTCGCAAGTGTAATACACAGATGCACGACTAGACTTCTTCACAACAGGGTCGGCGTATAAACAGCACACAAATTTGATACTCTGCACAGCCCAGATTAGCGGCATGGCAATTCCAAAGACCATAATTCTTAAACGTCGTTTCTTTTCTTGTCTCCAAAGGTCACATAACTCGCATTCGCACTTGACGAGCTTGTGCTCGGGAAATGTACCCTCTAAGTATTCAACGTCTTCCACATTTCTTCTCAGTTCAGTCACGTATGAGCGCATTGGTAGCAATGGAAAGGGATAAATCTACCTGGCGCACCGTGCAAAACCCGTTCCCTTTTATATCAACTGTTGACTGAGAAGTTGGCATTCGAAAAATTTCCCGATAGGGTCATGACAATGATGTCCATCTCACACAACCACATCCTTGTACGCCCGGAATAGTCATTTTTGGTAAGGAAAGCGTTTTGCGAGCGAAGAGGGTGTTCGCTCTGACGGATATCCTGGTTGGATGCTCAAATGCATCCCTACCGCCACTTTTCTGGGAAAAGATAGACGCGCAAAAATAAAAGAGATTAAATAAATCAATGCCCGAGAAGCACATGAAGTAACACATGTCAGCACTTGATATTGCTCAGCTAGCAGCACTTCTACTGTCGACCAAAGCCAAAGACAAGAACGATGCCCTACTACAACTTGAGGCTATAACTTCCTCAAGATGGAGACTAGCCCTGAAGCAATTGAGAGTTTTAACAGGCGCTATCTTTCAGCTAATTGAGAACGAGTCTCAACAGTTTACAAGCAATAAGTACGCAGCACAGGCGACTACAATCTCACGATTAAATAAGGCCAGCTATTTTTTGAGGATACTAATTGAGAAAGCAATCTCCGATAGACTAAATATAAGATCCAAATTTTTTCTCGAAATATGCTTCAGCATAAAAAACTCATTTTATGTCCAGGGTCAGCCGTTGGATCCGTGTTTGGTTGATTTTGTCATGATTCTAGCGGCAGTATTGGGAGTTGGTTACGTTAATGAGCATATTAGCAGTAAGGAATGGCAGAACATCTATGATTTTCTTGTCACTGCTACAAGTCGAGCATTGGACGATGGTACCCAAACCAAACAATTTGGCTTCACTAATGAAAAAGTGTTGATTGGACTTTGGACAGCTTTGCACAATCTCCTCCGATGTGAAACTTCATCGAGCTGCACTGAGTTGTTTGAAAATGATGCATACTTCAAATTCTTGCCTTTGTTAAACAAAACCATCGATGCTTTCAGAAAAGAACATCCGATTCAAATCGTTGTTTTTAGAATTCTCAATAAGCTCATAATTCTACTAGCCACGACAGACGTCAAATTCGCTCACAAGTTGATTGAGTTGGGTATTAAGTTAACATCATTTTGTCGAAAGACCAGGTGGGAGAAGCTTCAAGACCAGTATTTAATTTTTTTAAATTTACAATCGACCCACAATCTCATGTACATAGACAGCTTGCCAAAGCTCACTGGAGATTCTGAGATTCAGATGTCATTTCTTTCTGAAGAATCTGTCGAAACACAAGTTGGTCTTGAGAATAGTCCAAGTGTGGTGCACAATATGGAGTTACTTATTGTTGACTTGATAAATTATCTACTTGCGCTTCCTTCTGACTTGTGTGGATCTGTTGGCCTTTTTGATTTCAATAGCAAAATCGATTGGTTCAATCTTCGCACTATACGCTTCAAAGGCGAGGATCGTCGGCGTTGGTTATACACGACGGCAGTGGTAAAATTGTTGAAAACATATTTTGAAGTGAAGAAAAGTATACTGCTTCTGCAAGGGACGAGTACACCAGGGAAGAGCTATTTTACTGATTTCGTCTTGAGCAACTTGGTTGGCTCTTTCAACATGATTGATTTTTGTACTTCCTTGGTCCTGTATAATTCAACTACAGAGTTTCACATACTAAGCTTGACATTGATGACTTTTTATCAAGAGCTTGGGCAAACATCAGGGCCCATAAAAGGAGGGAAGCAATGTGGGGAGTCTATTAGTGCAAGTTATGAAACAAATACCACATTCGACTTCACCATATCTGTTGGATGCCAGTCCCTGGATCTCCCTGGGTATCTCCAACATATGCTAAAAACAGTCGAGTATCAAGATGCACACTACTGGCTAATGATGTTTGCAAGGTCTGTTTTGAATCAAGTAGACTTTCACGTGTATAACCTGGCTATAAGATACAACGTCCTCCGACAAATTTTTAAATTGGCCTTAGATGGGATAAACAAAGCTGACAACGATGTTGCTTGTGACTTGATTTCCAAGTTAGTATCACGAGGCGGCTTCAAATTAAGCAAGATTGTTGACGACGGGATCAGAACGCAATTGGAATCGATAATTGATTCTCCTGGTGTGAACGGACCCTCCATCCACGATGAGAGCTTTACATTTTGGTATGCAGTGAACAAACTTTGTATCGATCTCAACATTAAAAGAAAAAATGTGTTGGTAATGAAGATAGACGAATGGTTGTGTGAAAAGTGGGATGCCGCTTTGAGTACTGGTATGCTCGTTCAATGTAACCCGAGCGATTTCGTATACTGGCTATCTGGTTGCATTCCCCAAATAGGTCCGAAATTAAATGTTGACCATAAGAATGCCTATGAAGGTCTGTTCAAAATGACGATGAACTTGGAGGGATCTCGGCTAAGTTTGGAGTCTTTCGTCACTTTGCAACAAAATGATGAAGAGACGGAAGGACATCTGTTTGCTGTTACCGCTGTCTGTTCTGAACCAAGTTCCAATTTCTGGAACCAAATTGTCTCCACATTCAGTAAGTTGAATACTGAGCCAATTGCGTATGGGCAACTTTTCAAGTGGTTAATCGCTTTGCTGGACATATTACTAAAGACACCTCGTTTATCAAGTCAGCAGGAACTTTGGGACACTTTAAACTATCAAATAACAGTTGGTCTTGGGGCTTTTTCAACTGGTTATTTAACGTTTGAAGACGCTTTTGAAGTCATGAATATGATTGTTGATTACTCGACTGAGAGTGCGACTAGTACAAGAAGTTTTCTTTCGAGGGTCCCGTTTGATAAATTGATTGATTCCGTCATTCTGAGCTTTCAAATACCGAGCAGACGTAACAAGAGGCTTTTTAGTGAGGAGGATACGGAATTTTCGGAAGTTAGGGAGGAGAGCAGTGTTACGTCCGATGCTAGTAATGAGACCTCGTCACTTGACTACCAAGATTGTCTATCTTTGCCAGTTTTCAATCTCATGAAGTTTAAATATCTACATTTGAGTTTTTCAAAAGATAATGAGATGGAAGGTTTGCCTCAGTTAATCGCTTTCATTGAAAATTTTGCAAACGAAAACTTATTGGTGGCTTTGTTGTATATTGTTGATGAACGATTGCCAAAACTTAGCTGCATAGATCAAAAACAGTGCTTGATAAAGTTGTTGCGTATTTTAGGAGAGCGAATTCTCTCGGACCAGGTGCTAGAACGAAACGAAACGGTTTTGATAATTGTATCTCGCATGCTCTCCCATTTGCTTCCATTACTTTCTTCAGTGGCAGATGATGCATTGTACAGGGATTGTTGCGATATTGTCCAATGGCTCTATGCATTGGGAACTAAAAATTATATCACCACAGAGGTTTCAGTTGTCAACTTTACCAAATTTTTGGTAATATATTTGCAGCATAACAATGAAGACTATATACCGCAAACATTGCTAGAAGAAGAGACATTTTTGAAGTTTTCTAAATCAACCAACTTCATGAAGTCGAAATTGGTTCATGCGTTTTCCAAATATATTCAAAGTTGCGAGAGTTTCAAGCAAATGGAGATTTACTCCAAATTGTTCAACAATTTTGTTACCCCTCAATCATCGGTTGAAAATGGGGCAACATACGTGTACTTCTTTTCCATTTTGGCTGCATCTTCCTCAGTGGTATTGCGAATGGCCATGTTTAATCTTACAGAGTGTTCAAAGTTTACCTTTTTTGTTCCGTACTTGAAGCTAGGCTTTGAAGAGCTCTATTTGAGATGCAGTTTTTCAAGTCTGCGGAAATTTTTTGATGTACTAAAGGTAGATTTGCTTCGAAGGTGGTGGGTTTTCGATTCAATCAAAACATTCCCTTTTTTTTTGTTCAACTATGACAGCTTGTCTGCATTCTTGAGTGAGAACTACCGTGAAATAGCCGCAGTTATTGTGTCGACCAAGTCAAGAACAGAGACAGATTTCAGAACACAAAATCGCTCCATGGAGCTATTGTCTGTAATTGCCGATGTGAGAAACACCGATGTGCATATATTAATATCTGAAAGCTTGTCATTGATCTTTCCTTTGTCCTACACCAAAGATGGCATTAAAAATTATGTTTTTGACTTGTTGCTGAGCTTTGTTCCAAGATTTAGGCAAGAAGTTAAATCCCAGCTCCCTTTATTAATATTGGATATTGTCAAGCGCCTTGATGTATCGAATGAAGTCGAAATCGCGACGCTACTTCCGAGATCCTATGGAGTGTCTTTTATGATAGACCAGGCGTCGTCGAAAACCGAAAGCAACAACTCCGAAGTGGTGGTACCCTTGCACAGTGGTCTTCAATTAATCAACAAGATGGTGGAAAAGTACCATACAGAAGATTCCTTTTTCTGGTCAACAGCGATGATCTACTTCTTGCTCAGAAGAGTGGGGACGTCATTGCGGGAAAACCTCGCTCTGAAATCGACAATATTAGAAATTCGACGCATCAAGTTGATTATCGCCATGGGCGAAGACAATGCATTTTCGACGCATATATTGAATTTGCTCGTGGAAACTTTAACTCCGTTGATTAACGATAAAGTGCTATCTCCGGTTGTATACCGTATTTTTACACTTTTTGGAGATGTGTTTTCCGTTGAAAACGAACATTTTGAAATCTTCAAGACAATTTCACCATTGCTCAACTCGCTTCTAATGGCACCTCGAACTGTTGATAACAGTTTGCATCAAGAGCTTGTTTCAAAGTTGAGAAAGTATGCTGATGTTATTCAAGGACGTGGTGAAACTTCATCCCGAAAGAAATTGATAACTGCTGCCATTAAACAGTTGAAAAATGAACAATCAACATTGCAAGTGTCGGAAATTGAAGAGTTTTTAAGCGAAAAAGTCGATTTTAATGCTATTAGCATTGTATCAAAATTATTCCCATATGTTGTGGATCCAGAGGCTCTTTCAACGAGAGTGCCAATGTTAAAAAATATACTCGCTTTGGGCAATGAACAACTATCGCAGCTTTCAGAGCAGTTCAAGCTTTGGGTAGCCAAATGTTTATCAAAGTATTATTTCCAAACTCCAACATCAAACTTATTGGATTTGGTTGACATTACAGAATATGAGGGACCTAGTGAATCCGAATTAAATGTGGGCTCGACATTTTTCGATCTTCCAATGCAACATCTCGTTCAATATGCGCAAGAAGGTGACTACTTCGAAGCAGCTTGTGCAGAATCAGTATTGGGAGTTTTTTTCAACATAAAAAAGAAAGACCCCTCCACATTACTGTACGTTGTCAATTTGGAGCTGGTGTACACGTCGATGTCGTTGTTCATTCAAGATTTGAGGCTACATTCGTGTGTATTGCTAAACGATGAGCCTGGTGAAAACATAGGGGATGTGTCTCTTGATGATTTGGTTGGCAATCTCGATTCGATTTTTCACTCCAACAAGATTAACTGGTGCCCCAAGATTTATTTGGCACTCCTCAAGGATGTTGCTACGTACAGTGTCGTCGGATCTATTATGAGTATATTTGTCGTGAAAGTTCCCGAATTTGCCTCCAAAACGATTTCATCTTTGGTGTGCTTTTATATTAATCTTTCCAAAAGCAGGGCTGAAAATATGATAGCAAAATTGTTGAACAACTTTGCGAATCTGCAGCATCGCAATAAGGACGCCATTCGCACATTCGTTGAAATATTGGTGAGTGTGAGAATTGCAGCCAAGACATCCACCAATCCTTCCTTTGCAAGAGTTTGTGAAAATGTTGATACACTTCGATATTATGAGCTAGCAACTGAATCCCGAATGTATAAATCAGCACTAATGTTGTTTGAGGATGTGTTTTGTACTGCAAGATCATCACAGTTACTTGAAAGTCAATATTCAACGTTGCAAACTGTCTATGACGGTCTTGATGACATAGATTTGAATTATGGTCTTCCCGAGAAGACCACTTTGGACCTGTTTTTGAATCTGAAATTTCGTGCGGATGCTTCTCACGTTCAGTTTCAGTATAGCAGTGGGTGCTTGGATGCTAGTTTGAAGTTGAATGCCCCTCTTGTGAATGGGTTTTCTTCGATGATGACAGACGCCGGCATGTTAGGCATCTCTCTGATCATTGGTAAAAGCGTGGAACAGACCATTTCTGAAAACGATTCCTACGAATGGAATTGGAAATTGTCAAAATGGGACCAGCCACTACCTGTGGAAGAGCACAGTGAACATCAGCTGATATATAAAGTATTGAAGCAGATTCATGATTTTCCTCAAAACGGGGAAAGAATCTGTCGTGATAACCTTTTGAAATTAATGGATGTACATACAAGAGGTGGTAACACGGGGGTTAAAGAGATACGAGGGAACTTTTTGAATTGGCTCAAATCTTTGGCATCAGTGACAGCTATTGAAGACACGATTAACTGCACTTCATTGTCAAGTGTAGATGAAGAATTTCTAGAGTTTGAGAAATTGGAGAACATCATTTTGGCAAGACAAACAAGTTATCAAGTATTAGCTGAGAATCCATATTCCCAAACCTCCAGTGACCTGCTCTGGTCTCTATCTTTGAAGGAGTTGGTAATGTACAACAATTTGGCTAGAATAAACAATGAACAACAGAAAATGGTTTCTTCGACGGTTTTGATCGATAGCATTTGCAAGAAGCTACAGAACACACAAGGTGCCCCACACCAAAACTTGAAACATCTATCTATGTTCCAACTAGCACAATCCATGTGGAAACAAGGGATTACAAATGTTCCTGTATCGATATTGAAAGAGTTGTACAGTGCGGGTGGAGTTGATATATACGATCACGAATTGAAGGTGGATAAGTTCATGATCAAGGCAATGATGATAGAATGGATGTCTGAATCGCGTCAGGAACTATCGTCCAATTTAATGGAGAATCACGTATTGCCAACGGCGGAAATGTCTTTGAGATTGGACGATCAAGTACAACAATCTAAAATATTTCGCCTTTTAGCTCAGTTCTGCGAAACACAATTCAAATCTAAATCGTTAAGCGAACAAATTGAAGTATTGGAAAAACGAGTTAGTGAAAAAGAAAATGAGATTGGGGAATTGCGAACTCACTACAGCTCCTCCCAGGTTTCATCGGACGAGAAGCGTTCAATCAACAAGTATTACTCAAAATTGAAATTGCAGTATAAAGCTGAGTGCGCAGATCTCGAGCATGCAAGGGCCAACAAGAAAAGATTTGCAGTCAAAGCCATTGAGTATTATTTGCTAACAATGACCATGAGTGACTTCCCAGAAGAGGACTTGGATAAGTTTTGTGCTTTGTGGTTGGAGCAATCAAACCATGATGGACTTAATGATAAGATTGGACTGAAAGTTATGTTGTTGCCGTCATATAAGTTGCTAAGTTGGTCCGCGCAACTAATCTCGAGATTGACGAAAGAAGATACTAATTTTCAAAATATATTGAAGCGATTGATATTTCAGGTGTGTGTCGATCATCCATACCACACATTGTACTTGTTGTTTTCTTTGATGAGACATAAGCAGTTGGCACAAAAGGATGCTAACCCTTTGCTTCTTTCCAAAGCTATGGCGGCTGAAGCTTTATGGGTGAAATTGATAAACCACAACTCGAGTTCCTTGCTTGAAAAGATCAATGAAATCCAAACTTTTAGTGAAGAATGTATACGGCTAGCTGAATTCAAGGCACCAAAAGGTAAAAAAATCAACTTGGAGAGTCTTAGTGAGTATTCAACTTTCTGGTTGCATCACTTGCCGCGCATCCCCCCACCTACAATGTCACTCAAAATTGATCCTACCAAGTCCTACCTGAATATTCCTGTTATTTGGAAGATTGAGAGGAAGATTTCAACAGCTACAACTGGCTTGAGTTTGCCAAAAATTGCCACTTTTATTCTCTCGGATGGATCGAAACATGTCATGTTGATGAAGCATGGAACAGACGATCTTCGACAGGACTCGATCATGGAGCAAGTCTTCGGTAAGGTTCAAAACTTCTTCACTAGAGACAAGGAGTGTAGCAAGAGGGGATTAGTAATTAGAACCTACAATGCTGTTCCCCTTGGTCCTAGATCGGGTGTTATCGAGTTTGTACCAAATTCGACATCCTTTTCGGATGCAATACAGCCGTATCATACTAAGCACGATAAAATGAAGTTAGAAAAGGCTAGAGACATCATGCGGCAGTGTCAGAATCAAGATAAAATTGAACGACTTCGCGAATACCAAAAAATCGAGGCAAAGATCAAACCTGTTTTGCATTTATTCTTTCAAGATTGTTTTCTCACACCCGATCGGTGGTTTGAGAGTAGAGTCAAGTATACTCACGGTGTGGCGACATCCTCCATTGTCGGACATATATTAGGTTTGGGTGACAGGCATTGCAACAATATTCTACTCGATAAACGCAATGGAGAACCGATACATATAGATCTTGGTGTTGCTTTTGATCAGGGAAAGCAATTGGCGATACCGGAAACTGTCCCATTCAGATTAACAAGAGATGTAGTCGATGGCTTTGGTGCTACCGGCGTAGAAGGTACCTTCAAAATTTCTTGCCAACATACAATGAGAGTTTTGAGAGAGAACAGGGACCATATCATATCCATCTTGGACGTGCTTAGATGGGATCCGTTGTACTCGTGGACCTTGTCGCCGATTAGGAGGAAACGATTACAGCAGGAAGAGGAGAGACTGGGGTTACAGCCAGAGCAAGATGGCTCAGATGCGGGACGTGCTGTGCTAGATGTGTCGGACAAATTGGTTGCCAATGGTTTGAGCACAGAAGCAGTTGTGCGGGAATTGATACAAGAGGCAACTAGCCCTCAGAATTTAGCATTGTTATACTTTGGGTGGTCCCCATTCTACTAAAACGAAAAGAATGTCGTACAAAGGCATGTTTCAACTGTGAATATAGATATACACACAACATATAGCAATAACTCTTTTTTGTTCTTTGTCTCAAGCTGGCAATGTTTTCGTCTTATTATGGAACACTCGCAAAGGCAATGTAGGAAATACGATATAACTGTTGAAGCGGTTAGTAACTCCAGAAAAGCAACTGTACCAGCCAAACAAAGAGCTGAGTACAATCACGACGCCACCGCCCCGAATGCAGCGAACACTTTGTCTCATAAATCCTGCAGCAAGTAGAAAGAAGCCCAAATCCAAGGTGAAAAATAATAAAACAAATGGCCAGGTGGACTTGAAAGTACAAAGCAACATCAAGAATGTGAAAATCGCCCATCCAAGAAGGAAAAAACCTGCAGCATCGCCAAAGTCGTCATTGTCAGCGCCTCCATAAGCTTCGATAATTCCAAAAGTTGGGATGAATATAGCTCCAAATGACATCCAGAAGCTACCGTAGCTGACAAATGCTGTTGCTGCAAAAGTGTTGCCAATAAATACTTCGCAAAGACCAGCAATGAACTGTACTACCCCGCCATAAAAAACAGCAGCACCCATCACTGCATTCAAAGTGGTGATACCCATTGCACGGGCTAAAATCAATCCAGCAACAAAAGCGGTCAATGCAAAACCTGCTAGCCCAACCGCGGAAGCATTCCCCCAGTTATTATGGGGCCAGGTGGAGTATCCCGGACTAAACTCTCCCGCAGAAGGTCTCTTCAAATCTCTCCTGAGTACTTTTTGATTGTTGATTACAGTTCGCTCGTCATCGGAAATAAGCGTTGAGTGCATACTCGTTTGTGGAATAAACTGCGGGTTGGAGGGACCAGCTTCCAACGGGGTAAGCGGCTCAGGTTCGTTGTTTTCTTCCAATGAAACCATTTAGTGTGGGTGTGGAGCTATGCTTCGTACATTTTAATTTGGACAAGGATGAGGGCGAATCGTCCATAATATATGGCTTTCCATCGTAGAAATAGGAGTTTCCTCAAGCCTATTTGGGCATAGTGGTTCCTCATTGAATGCGTCTTAACGTGACTCCATCTTAGCAGTACACTCAATCAAATGTCTACTTTCACCAGCGTACCCCTGCAGATAAAAAAACTTTGCTAATCAGTTAGTGAACTAATTTTTTCGTTACGCGTAACACGTGAGAAAGTGAGCTTTGTGACATTGTTTTTGCGACAAGGGAAGGATCTCGAAAAGCGGATGTATCCTACATATGATTTTTGGAACTCAAACAAAGCACAGGACTGGCATATATAGTGCTCTTAAAACTCGCCTAGAATTATCATTTAGTCGTATCAATTTTTTTGAGAAATGTGTGCAGAAAAGATTTGATGAATATTGGTACCACAAATGGGAAAATAAAAGCTCTGTCCTTACAAAGTTATATAAGCACGAAAAATACAATTAGGCGGATAGAACAGAGTAGACGTCATGCAAGAATAATTACACCCTTGAGAATTAAGTTTTTGTTTTGTTTGTAGTTTACTTTGTACTGCACGCTAATTAATTTGTGTCAGCATGTTAAAAATTATCTCAAAACTCTCTCGCTTTCCTTCTTTCCTTCAATAAGATTTTGTATTTACGACGCCAAAAGCGTGTAACGTACACATCTACATTAACCGATACAAACAATTCACCTTTACCTTCACCAATATACTCCACAACCCAATCATATTCCAATCTCAAATGAGTAGCTTCGGAGCGGAAGAAGAACTACCATTGCAAGGATGCATTGTGAAAATACCTTTAATCATTGAAAATGAAAGTGCATCTGCAACATTATCTCAAAGTTTTCTTTGGACACACGTTACCAGAGCCGACTATGAACCAAGCGCAGATCCCAACTTTATTAATATCTCGCTAGTGTCAATTTGGGAAGAAGGGTACTATCACACAACCATCAAAAAGCAAAATATTTACAACATATTTGAGAATTCGACCTCAAGGAAGGTAAATATTGATCGCAACAGCACTTACGACGTATTTACCGACTTGTTCCCATTGGATTTGGATACGTTTTTGGAAAGTGAAGGCAAGGATGGTGTACACAAACAGCTTCTACTAAGTGCCAAAGTGAATGTTCCTGAGAGCAGTTTCAAGAAAGGAGAAGGGCTCAATCCAGATACATTACAAATTCAGATAAAGAGCACAGGGACATTCAACCCAACCGTGGGAAAGTTTGATTTGAATTCAGTGGATTTTGAATCTTCAGAGAATTTGAAAGATGAGGGTAATCTATTCAATTGGATGCAGTTGTTTGAAAGCCAGAACAAGGAGCTCGTAAAACGATTGATTCAAGCTAACGCCGAGAACGATCGACTACAAACAGATAATACTCTTTTGCAACGGGGAATTGAGCAAACGAAAAAGGATTGCGACGAGATTATTACAGATTTGGAGTCCAAGTTTTATCAGGAGATGAATTTGAAGAAGGATGTTATTTTTGAATTGTCAAAGAATGAACTACCGAAAACTGAATTGCTCGGGTTGAATGCCACCTTCTTAGCTCATACAGTGGAGAAGGAAAATGCCAGAAATGAAAATAAGAAGAAGGGGGCCCGAGGGAAGCGTGTAAAGCAGGAAAATGAAACAAGGTCAAAGAGGCGAAAGATCAAACGAAAAAAAGTTGACAGTGTGGAGGAGGGGTCCGACTTCAGAAACGACACTGATTACACCGATGTGGAGCATGCAGATGAAAACGCTGGGGAGGTGATGAATATCAAGGTGAAAAAGGAGCCAGAGCAAATTGAGAAACCAAGACGATACAATTTGAGAAGCCAGTCGAATACAAGAGTGAAGAAAGAGCCAGAGTATGGGAATCAAGCAGAATCTCCCAGACTGGAATCCAATTTTGTTCCACATGTAAAGAAAGAACCCTGCACACAAATCACTCCCAAATCTCCTGAGTTGAAAGATGATTCCAATCCCATCACTGTGAAGTCGGATCCAGATGTTAACAGTACACCATTCAGCCCAGACTCTTTTACATTTAGCAGTGAAAATTCGCAAGACAATTTGAAAGTGGAGAGCTTATTATGGAGATCGCGAAATCCTTCTTTGAATATAGAAAGGGATCGAGACATATTCAACAAAGCAGTGCGACTAGGTACTCATGGAAAAGATGATGTTGATAAGGATGAGGAAGTGGACGAGGAGAACGATAACGGAACGGGATGTCAAGAGACAGACGAACAAACTGTATATAGTTCGGATGGCAACGGTGGCTCATCAGATCAAGACCAAAAACTGGAAAATGAGCGTGAAGATGGAGACAAAGGGAATGACGAAGTGGAATACGCTAAGAATGCCACTGACTCCAAAAGCCAAACTGAGAAAGGGTCTTTCATTGAAGATAGTCTTCGTAGCGTCACTTCAGAATCCAAACGCAAAGCAACTGACGAGTCCCAAAATAGAACAGACTACTCAGACGATGAAACTAAAAAGAAGAAGGATAATGACAAAACAAAGAGTCAACAAGCTGCAAGCCAAGCTGACGTAGAGACGGATTACAGCGACGATGACGATGACGATGACGATGACGATGAGTAGCCAAGAATAATTTATGACATTTACGAAGCAAATGGATCTGTAAACTTTTCTGCACGATCTCCTAGATGTAGCTGTTGACGTAGTACAAGCACTGTTGATAGCGTATGTAAGTCATCATTTTTTTCCAATCCATAAAACACTCACAACATCGCTATAAATAAAATTCTCACTCAGCTATAGAACCCAAAATAGACTGATTACAGCATGAGAGCAAACTGGTACTTGCCTGCAGACTCTAATCGTCCTTTTATGGCTAAAGTGTTAAAGAGTGCAGTGCAATTGTTTGATATAGCTAACCTCTTTGGGTAGCGTCGTTTATCTTCCTCGCTTTCTCAACTTCTCTCTCTCTCTCTCTCGTCATTGAAAAAAAAAAAAAAAAAGAAAATTTTTGATTCAATCAAGATCATCTTCCTCTTTCAATAATCCAATATTAAATTCAATCAAAACACACATAAGGAAGAATAACGAAGATCTACGAAACTTTCTTTTCAAAATTAATCCATTCTTGATCTAAGCATATTTCATTTTTCATTTCACTTCATTTCCTTCTTGATTCTCGACTTTTTTGATTTTTTTTCTTTTTTTTTTGATTTTTATTTATTCACGAGTTCCACTTATTTGATATTCATAAAGCACCTGCACTATCCCATTCAGCATCACTGGGACGACTACTACTGCTACTACTGCTACTACTGCTGCTACTACTACTACTACTACTACTACTAATACCGCTTTGTTCCTTATATTTCCTCGGCACCTTGCATACACCGCTTTGAATTTATTTCGTTGATCAGTTTTGGCCCTTTTGCCCTAGTTCCCGCTTTGTACAGTTTTGATAGATTGATAAGGACATAGGGAATACTGTCTGATCGTTGTGTTAACCAACCACTATTTAACTTTTGCATTTACTACAATTGGGAAAAATTTTTCTACATTTTCTTTAACGAGGAGATACCTACATTATAGAACTGCGACAACTCACTCAACCCTTGGCTCGCTAACTAGACATTTTTTTTTAAAAAAAGTGACCCCTCATACTGAGCTGCTTTTACTGATTATGTCTTATTACGATCCATATCAAGGCATGTCACAACAATACGTTGGACAACAATACTACCCGCAGTACTTTTCAGAACAACAGAACCAATACGGCAGTGGCGATGAATTTCCCTTGGGTGACAGAGGCTCCAATGGAATGGAAGGGAATTTCAATGACTATGGTACCAGCCAAACTCAATTCAGCGGGTTCGATTCGGGAAACGCATCTCACTGGGTGAACCCAAACAGCTACCACCCTGAGTTGGATGTCCATCACAATTTTTCCCAGCATAATGGTAATGGTAATGGTACATTTCAGGGGAACAATGGATTCCATGGCATTGATGCACCAAATATTGGATCGACAGCAGGAGGTGAATTTTATGCCGAAGACAGCTCTTACTTAAATAACAATGGATCCAACGGACAAATTGCATACGGCAACATGTTGTCGAACGAGTATGATCAAGGAATGTTGGCATCACAGTCAAATGACATCTATCAGCATCAAATTAACGGTGGTCCAAATGCATCCAATGCTCAAGTCGTGGGCACTGGTACCAATATCGGTGTAGGTGGCGTTGGCGGTGTGTCCGCTGCGACACCAAATGCAGCTCCATCACGTACAGTCTATTTGGGAAATATCCCCTCCGACATTCAACCCAATGAGTTGTTGGATTATGTACGTTCGGGGATTCTCGAGAATGTGAAAATCATACCAGCAAAAAACTGTGCATTCATTTCATTTATTGACCATCAGCTGGCTTTGCTTTTCCATTCCGATTGTATTTTGAAAAAGCTCAATATCAAAGGACACGATATCAGAATTGGATGGGGGAAAAACACTTCTATTTTGCCCGCGGTATTGGAAGCAATTCAACGTGATGGTGCCACAAGAAACGTCTACTTGGGAAATTTGAATAATCCAGCAACGGGACAAATGATTACTGAAGAAGAATTGAGAGAGGATTTATCTTGTTTTGGTATTATTGACAGTATAAAAATTATCCCAGAAAAGGGCATTGCATTTATTCATTTTTTGAGTATTCTTAGTGCTGTCAGATGTGTGGCTAACTTGCCAACGAAGGAGAAGTATTTGGACAAGAAGTGCTTTTATGGAAAAGATAGATGTGCATTTATCACCAAAACTCAACAACATAATGCTGCTCAATACTTGGGTTTAGCTCCTGGAATGGAACACATTGTTACCGCAGCAGATCGTGAATTTATATCCAGTGCTTTGGTTCAACAATCAGCAGCAGCTGCTCAAATTGCAACTCAGGCTGGTGGTGCTAACAATTTGGGAAATCGCACAGTTTATTTGGGCAATTTGCATCAAGATTCTTCTGTTGAGGAGATCTGTAATGTTGTTCGTGGAGGATTGTTGCAAAGTATTCGGTTCTTGAAAGAAAGACATGTATGTTTTATCACTTTTATTGATCCAATTGCTGCAGCTCAATTTTTTGCCATGTGCCAATTACATGGATTAACCATTCACAACCGAAGAATCAAAGTTGGTTGGGGTAAACATTCCGGACCGTTGAGTAATGCTCTTAGTTTGGCTGTTTCCAATGGTGCTTCAAGAAACATTTACATTGGTAATTTGAACAATCTTGAATTTTACAATCCAAAAAAATTGAGAGAGGATTTTTCAAAATTTGGTGATATTGAACAAATCAATTACCTTGAAGAGAAGAACTGTGCATTTATCAATTTCGTGAATATTGCCAATGCTATCAAAGCCATCGATGGTATTAAGCTGTTTCCTGACTACAAGAATTTGAAAATCAATTTTGGTAAAGATCGTTGCGGAAATTTACCTAGACAATTTCAAAGCCAGGGCTTGCCTTTGGGTGGTGGAGCTATGGGTCTCTTGGAGAGTGCTGCTGCTAATACACCAATGGGACATCAAGGAGCTACCCCAACTACCAATGGAGGCAGTGGTGCCGGAACTGTAGTCAGTGGAAGTGGACACGGCTCCTTGTCTGACTTGGGAGATTTCAAAGATTTGAGAGAGGGAACTGCTTTACAATCTGGTCATAATGCGTTTGAAATTACCACCGTAGGTGCATCAAGAAGCAGCTCAAACTCGCCATTGCAATCGCCACACGACTCGTTGTTGCATTGAGGAGTAAAATACCGGCTACCCTACTCCCCTCTCCATGAAGTCCTGCTTGGCCCCCAAAATATCTTTTATTATTTGATTTACATTTTATTCATGATGCATTTTTGAAATTCTCCATACACCCATATTTGTTTTTTTTTTTTTTATTTTTTTTTTTGGTTTGCCACACTTTGCTTGTGCATTGGAGCTTTTCATTCTTTCGTTTTCGAACAACCGCCAGCTATATATCCACGTTGTTGTTGCCATTTGATTCACTTGGGTTTCTTTACCATTTTTTGGATCATAAAAACGGAATATACATGACGACAAAAGTTTGACTTTGTTTGTTTGTTTTATACAGTTTCTTATACATAGCTTTACTTGACTTTTTTAAAATGACGACTGCATAGATATCCGCACACGAGTAGATCCAAGGTATAGTGCTCGCTTTACTCTGAGTTTTACTCTCGTCAATGTACATACTACCTTATTCTTGGAACTATTACGATAAAGAGCATCATCAACAAAAACACCCCAATGACTCCAACAACACACTTTAACAAAAACCACAAGCTTATTCTATTACCGGTCTTGCTTTCCAAATAATTGTTCAAATTGCGGTCAATCACTTTGAACAAGTTTGAATTCCGAATGATGTTTTCATTGGTTTCATTAAGTATAGATAAATCATCACCCAAAATCTTGGAGCTTAGGGACATGGCGCTTGTTTTCAACGTGGATGTAAGTTGCGACAATTCATTGAGGATGTCATCTTGAATGGATTCATGGTACGTGTTGAGTTTGTCGACGTCGTTTGGCGATGTTGAATCGAGATCAAGTTTTGATTTGGATTTTGATAAAAGTCGGTTGCGTAGCTCAGTCAAGTTTTCATCGTTGTCAAATGTTGTAGTTGTGGTGGGTACAGCATCGTCGCTGTTGCTGTTGCTGTTGCTGTTGCTGTTGCTGCCGTCGTGGATGGAGTCGCTAGTAGATTCCCGTTGTGGTGTATTTGCCAAGTTGTACCATTCAATTAACTGATGAACAACGTACAATTTTTCGTCAATCACGTCAACAAGCAACTGTTCTACCCTCAATTTAAGCTCTTTGTACAGTTTGTTCTTCTTGAATTGGTCCAATAGGGATAGTTGCTGCAATAGTGAACTTTGTAATATTTGTAATTTATATTGAGCAATGTATGGTGAAGGGGCAATTTCCCTGGTTGATGTGTCGTTTACCGGGGAAAATTCATTGAGTGTGAGCAAATCCGGTAGGTTGAGTTGATGAATCTCCGATTCGTAAACCTTTACGATGTTCTCAATAGTCTTGACCGATGTCATGACTGTCAATTGCTAGAGTAGCAGGGTGCTATGAATTTAAATGAGAAAATGTATGGAAGGACAAAAATATTACTTGTCGCAACATAAACGCGACACATCACATCACATCACCAATGGCAGATCTTCCATTCCGTCTTACATCAAGATACATTTCTTTATATATACTCTAGCTCCATAACATTAACTTACGGTTGTAACTGTCGCTACACTACAGTTATGTACTAATAAGACCAATGTCAGCCAAACTACTATCAAACGACGATCTAGAATTGATGTTCTCTTGAAGAGAAAGATCGTGGTTAGCGAAAATGGCTCTGTTGCTCTAAGGATTTTGAGAAAAAAACGAGGTATGTCATTAATCAACGTTATTGCTAAGCTGATTTATAATCTCCAGGTTGAGTTAGTTTCTTTGTATCCTTATTGACATAAGGAAGAAGAAGAAGAAGAAGAAAAAGAAAAAGAAGAAGATGATCAAAAGAGTTGAATTTTTTTGTTTTTTTCCTTTCTACCCTTCTGCTTTTTTGTTTTGACCAAGACACGATTCTTTGTGATTCTCTGTTTGTAGCTTCTTTTGAAGGATTCAAATTTACATCAGTACTTAGTCTCAAGCATAGGGTGAGTGCGGTAAATAAAAGCAGTGCCGACAAGTTCGTATAGGAAAGGCATGCCATGCTATGTCGCTGGTAAGAAATCAGAGGAAAACTTGCCTATGATTAGAGGAGTTTTTATTTTTTTTTCACCAAAATTTAGCCAATATTTTTAACTTCTAAATCTACGACGCGAAACGGATTTGTTGTGGTTCTTAAGAAGGTCGTTTTTCGTTTGTTACTGCAGGTCAACTGTTTTACGAGCCAAGGAAGTGCTTTTCACCCTTCACCCCTTTTCTACAATTTTCAATCGTCATCTTCCTTAAAAGCTCAATTTTTAAGTGAAAAACAGCTCAGTATAAATAGCAAGGCGAATATTTGCATCTTCAATGAGCTCATAATTGCCTATACATTTCAGCAGTGCACAAAACTATGTACTTTTCAGTTTTAGATGAGAATTCCAGGCACACAAGGCGACGTTGCAAAACCTTTCTTCTTTTGTGATGTGTTTGTCGACCGAACAATGCGCATTCTCCATGCGAAACAGACCCATACTTGGGCCGAATACTAAGAATTTCTTTGAAGGGCATAGAAACTTAAAATTAAGTACAACAAAAACTAAGGAGAATAAACTTTACATGGTCTTGAATCTTGATACGACGGCATCATACGTAAACAGATGACTCTGGCACGTATGATCTTCCCTACTAAGACACACTCGAGTCAATGCAAAATCATTTTCGTGCGTGTTCACTGGCTAGCTCTTTACATTGGTGCAACGAGTGGAGTGGAGGATTGTTATCCATAGTACAAACGTTTTATGGTGGAGAAAAAAAAAAAAAAAAAAGAAAAGAAATAAAATTCAAGAGCCGAGAACGCTACCGTGTGTACTCTTCAAGTGATCTCAATTTACGAAAAAGCTTTGTCTGCGCTGTTCTTCGTTAATTTTGAAAACGTGTACATCAACCATCCCTATTTCTCAACTAAGCCATTGGTTTATTATCGTGTGATGGGTTGCAGTCACATTATAACAGAGAAATCGGTATATTTGCACGATAAACAGTGAACAGGGTTAAAATGATTCGGAATTACGCATTTCTTTTTTCTTTTTTTTTTTTTTTTGTTATAAATTTCTAAACTTTTCACTTTCACTCTTAGTTACAGCTTTCGTTTTCAGATGCCACAGAAACGTTGACTGTTCATCATCATCTGGGGTCAGGTCGCCTTTCAAGCTTTGAAAAAGAGAGAGAGAGAGAGAGAAGAGGTGGGCTCTTAGAAGGGGAGATTTGCAACTCCTTTTATTATTTTTTTTCTTAGCTTTTCCAAGTATTTTTCTTGTTGTATACTTTAAATCGAGGGCTAAGGTTTTTTATAGCGGGTTGTGGTGGGTTGTCTTGTGTTTGTGTCCACTACAGAAGGAATTTTATGCACATTGCTAACAACAACAACAACAACATGTTGTTGTTGTTGTTGTTGTTGTTGTTGTTGTTGTGTTGCTATGATGAATGATCTGTTTGTGCATGTGTATAGTGTATTGTGACAAATTTCAGTTGTGAATGCTATTGTTGTTGTTGCCGCTGCTGCTACACAAACACTTTACTCTATACTCTAAAAATTGTGAAAATGTGTCTGAATCAGGATGAAAAATATCTACATTGAGCAAACGACAAATGACGAAAAAGGGTTGTTGATTGACAAACAAAAAATAAAATAATTTTAAAAATAGAATATCAGGCGGATCAACAAGGATACGAAAGAAACAGCAACAGCAACAGCAACAACAACAACAACAACAACACATGTAACCTCGTCATCTCTAGTAACCACTATATATACTGAAAGCTACTGCATAGGGTAAGCACCCTTTTATTGGCTTGCTTTTAACTCCGATGTATATGTGCTTCGGATCAGTAAGGGAAAAATAAGTCACAGCGCTTGTGCTATATTACAGCAGCGGCGACAGTGATGAAATGGTGTCTTTGTGTAATTGTTGATGTTTACTCAAATGTATATAGAAATAAAAATATATATATATAAACATAAAAAAAGAAATTTTATTATATTTCTCTTATATGCAGGATTGAAGCACATATACCCAATTTCAATATATCAAACAGTTTTCAGAAAACTCACAACATCAACAACAATAATAACAACAACTTCATCAACATCGTCGAAACCTTTACCTTTACATCACCCTACTTCTTCAGACAATAGTCACCACACCCAAGTCTTCTCACTCAATAGAACCAACCACTCGCTACAATCTAGAAGCAGGAGGAGTACTCCACCCAACCAACCAACCAACCAACCTCCCCTGCAAAACTACCAACAAAGGGTTCTATCATTATTTTTTTTTTTCTTCTTCATTGGTCACATATCTTAGTATATACTTATAATACTTGCCAATCTCACATCATCACCACTAGTTGTTGTCCCCTTGCATTCACTAGCTTGGTCTTGCATATCTTCATATAAAACCATTACATTATTTTACAATAGACATTCAACCAAAAATGCTACCTAGACATAATTTAATCTTGCTTCTTTCATTTTTCAGTTCAACTACTTTTGCTGATAGTTGGTCAAACCTGGGTTGTTACAAAAGTTCATCTTTGTCAAATCTACAATCACAGGGCTACTACATATACCAGTCGTCTGGCCATTGTGAACAAGTATGTGCTGGGAAGCGGATAGCGGCACTTATCAGTGGTAGTCAATGTTATTGCGGTGACTCTGATCCCACACTGAGTTCAGTAGATAGCTCGAATTGTGGCACCTCCTGTCAAGGTTACGGTACTGAAAAGTGTGGTGGAGATGGTTATTACACAGTTTATGTCAATTCCGATGTTGAGAGTCAAGATACACAACAGAGCAGTAGCAGCTCAAGTCTGTCAAGTACATCGTCTACATCGTCATCTACATCGTCATCGTCATCGTCATCGTCAACATCAAGCACATCTTCCTCGTCAAGTTCATCATCACAACAACCACAAACTAGCACAATAAAGGAAACCACCACGGCTCTGCCATCGAGCACATCTAATGACGAAACTTCTCAAGCTCAAGCAACCACTTCGTCGCAAACACCAGAAACTAAGGTGGAAGTGGCTTCTTCAGTACAGCCAACAACCATAGTATCTACAGTTGTCAACTCAGCAAACACTAAACTGCAATCAGTCATTTATCGTACAATTATTGAGTCGCCGTCATCACAACCTTCATCGTCATCAGCAACTACGACAGTATCTTCCCCTGCATCATCCTCAGGAGCACTCGAGGCTTCGCGAACTGGCTCGTCGGCAACTTTGCCATCATCCGCATCATCGTCGTCATCCGAAAGTTCAAACTCAAATAAAAACAAAGGAACTTCAGGGGGAGTCATTGCTGGTGCTGTGGTTGGATCAGTAGCAGGTGTAGCAGTTATTGCCGGGTTGCTATTTGCATTTTGCTGGTTTAGACGTAGAAGACAGGATGACGAAGACGTTGATGATCAATTTACATTATCAGGACCTAAACAAGAAATGTCCGAAGTCGATTCACCAACTCCACCACCTAGCCTGGATCCTAACCCATTCTTGTTAGCTAGTGGATACAATTATTTTGATACCTCACAACAACAGCAATTTCCAAATGGAACAGGAAGACTGCCATCACTACAACAAACACCAAGACAATACAACAACAATCAATTGCAAGGACATTCTCAAACTGGAAGTGGAGCCAGCGCTGCAGCTGGCGTGTTTGGCCACCATCAACAATCGAGCTCAAGTGGAACCAGTGGCGGTGGCGGTGACCACTCGCTAGGGTCACATGGAGACGATTATGCCTTTTTCGATATTCAAAATGGAGGTGATGGAAGCCTACATCATACAAACAGTCTACCACACTCAAACGGGCCACACACGCAGCAGCCCCCACTACAACAACAACAACAACAACAACAAGCATCACATCAATTCCAATTCCTCAATGCCAATTCACCCGAGCCAGGGTTTGGACGGAGGAAATTGAGTAATGGTTCGCTACCAGACATGATAGCAAGAGAGCCAGGTTCGTTGAAAGTGGTCAATAATTAAGATGTCACTCAATGGAGGAACTGAGAGTGGTGTTTTATTTTATTCTTTATTATTTTTCATTTGCACATAATTATTCATATTCACACACAAGTTCTATGATCTTGAGGTTTCTGTCCTTTTCAAGGGATTCTACAAACGCACTCTTTTGACATTACTCTTCTGAGTGATACGTTTCACGGTTTTTTTTTTTATTATCATTGTTTTACGGTTTTTTACTATCGATATCTAGATCTAAATTGCAGAATATATATTAGATGATGACCTCAAGTTTCTAGCGTGTGTTAGCTTTAGATGCTTAACGAAGTATTCGTGAACTTGGAATTTGTAGGACCTAAGAGAATTCACTCGAACGCGCCAACGTCTTACTACGCGCTGTCGGATTCGGCTTCAGTTGCCTGTATTCCTGGCGTCCTATAAAAAAAAAATTCGGCACGTGACGTTACATTGATAAAATTGTGCACTAGGTATCCACTAGATCAATGACTTTTATTAAGCATAGCCACAACTGGCGTGTCAGTGGAGGAACTGAACGGTAAAAGAAAACAGAGAGAGACACCTTCGAAAAGAATTCTAGAAACGTTTGGGACCTCAATCTATGCGAGCTCAATGAAGATACAGCTCAGCCCAGAAAAGGTTCAACAATCTTGTTTTGTTTATTGTTTTCGATTTCGCGTCTTATTGTCTTTTACTATTGCATCCACAAAATAAACAACACAAAGTAATTTTTCACATTTTGATTTTGTGGTGGGCAGACAACATCAACAGCAAAAGAACACTCTAGTGATCGACAAACAGGTCTAGAACGGAGTTCAGGAAGTAGAGGTCATTAGGATTTACGCGCTATACGTGAAACGTCACTGTCCGTCACGCAATTTTTTGTTAGTAGAACGCAACACGTGCTAAATTCAATCCGTCAATCGTGTTTGTGGGCGATTCAATGTGGACGATCATGGCCCTTGTATGCTTCTTTGTTTCGTTTTGGTCTAGAAGCGATCAAAGCATGTGTGGAAACTTGTGTTCAGTCGCTTTGACGTGTCGGTTGTTCGAATTGCTTGAGATCAAAGCCGAGGTTTTCAGAGAGAGAGAGAGTGTGTGCACGTAAAGTTGTCAATTTTGCATTTTTTTTCAATATGAATCACACCACAGTTGAAAGAACTGCGTGCTTTGACCGTTATACTAAATGATGCTGGCTACCGCAACTTACAACCTGTCTTCTCTATGAGTTTACATATTTCTTTCTTTTTAATTTTTTTGCATCTTTTCATCCAAGTTACTCGTAACATTCGCTGTTTGAGAAAATTTTGGTTTAGCAGAAGATATCACCAAGCCAATAATAAACAAGATGATACTAATACAGCTTCCCCTTCACTGGCAAAACACTTTCCTTACCAAAAACGACTATTCCGGGGGTACAAGGA